TGGGACAGATAACAAAGCTAGTTGTTTTTTGTCTTAATTCCAAACGTTAATTATGACTATGATTCAGCAGTTTTGGTCAATCATAGAGGCTTTATTATGTGTAGCTATGGTTGTGTCTGTGTTTTTCTTGTAGTCTAGCAGCAGTGCTGATAGAGTGGACTGTAACCCCATAAATTCTACCAGATGCAGTCGCGACGCATTCTGGCTTGATCCGGAGTTGATCGCGGCTCATCCTTGGCAACGCTTTAAATCCCACCAGAAGCACCACCTATTTTTCACAGAAGCCGTGAGCCACTCGCATCAAGCAGCACAGATCAGATCACTCCGGCGGAAGTCAGACACAGAAAGTGGCATAGAGAATCCGGTCAATTTTCAAAATAAAATACTGTGTACAGACTCACGCTAGATCAACATTGTGTCATCAGGCCAGAAGTCAATCAGTCAGAGGCAGGTTAGAGGAGATTTTTGTGTTTTGTGGACCGGAGAGAGAAGACTCACCAGGAAAGATGTCGACCGCAGGGTCCGCCAAACGGCCTGGTAGACTGGCCAACACCGCCACTGGAGCTTGGTCCGGGTCCACTCTAATGTATAACGAGACTAAGAAGAGCTCGGTGTGAGTCGAGGGCCAGTTGGCGACAGTGTAGATCTAGTTACTCAAAAACATTTATTTATTACTCATTACTCTTTTCAAAAGTAATGTAAATACTTTACTTATTAACGTATTACTCCCAACCAACAGTAATTAGTTACACTACTAGTCATATTACTTTTCTATTACTCACCATAAAATTTGTAATTGTGCCCCTTAAAGCCAAAATTCTACATTATAACTACAAATACATATACTGTCCTGTTTTAAATTGTAATTGTGTTACCTTACAGGCAGCTATTACTGTCAATTCATTTTTGTATGCAAATCAACATTCAGAGAGACCTGAAATTGATGAAGTGAACTTCTACATATGAAACCTCATGTGAACAAAAGTAAATGTTTGCAAACATTTAAGCACATGAAGAATTATTATGTGTGTATGTTTTAGGACACTGTGGTGGCTCTTCAGGCTCTGGCTCTCTACTCCTCTCTGGTGTTCAGTCCAGGGGGTTCAAGCACAGTGACTGTCCAGTCTCCCAGTGGTCAGCTGACATTTGATGTGAATCAAGACAACAAACTGCTCTACCAGGAGGAAGTGCTAAAGGACATGACAGGAACATACAGCCTGGTGGTGCAGGGCAATGCATGTGCTTCAGTGCAGGTCAGTAGTCACTGCAGCTCAGTGGCGGTTCTATCTTGAATGACACCCTGGGCGAGACCCCCTTCGAGCAAATTCCTTATTCTTCGTTTGATTAATCTCCTCCTCCTCTTCATATCTCAAATTGGCTTAGGTTTCCCTTTTGGAAGATTAACCGTGTATAATATTTAACCAAATTCTTCATCAAGTTCAGACGTTTTTGAAGGTTAACAAAGGGTCAGGTATAAATAACAACATGTTGTCAGCATAAAGTGAAACATTATGCTGTAAGGCATGGCAAATACCCGCCAACATTTTCCTTCAAAGCAGCAGTCACTGGCTCCATTGCCAGGGAAAACTTGTGGCTAAGTTTAAGTACTATTACTTAAATCACCCTTGTTCAATTTTTATGAGTATTAAACTTTCCTTGTCTACTTCTATCACAGATTTCTATTCACTACAACATCCCGACTCCTACTGATGTCACCACTCTCAGTGTGGAGGTCAAACCAGAGGCCGACTGCACCGGTGAATCTCAAAGACCCAAACTCACTCTGAAACTAAAGTCCTTGTAAGTAATGTTTAACGTCTACATCCATGTTGCAGCAATTATAGGAGAATATTGAAATTCTGATTAAACAATCCTCTGTGTCTACCAGCTTGGACTGAGTAACTTTTGGCAGATGGATGTGGGTGATATGGCAAGCCCTTTTAACATTTATCAGTTGGGCTGACTAGTAGCCAATTTCTCTTGTGAAAATGACATTTCTAAAGTTAATTTGAGATATCAGTAAAACTTATAATAATATTTATTTTCACATGTAGACTTTATATTACATTACATTTCAACCTGTCTAAACTGATTTACAGATATCTTGAATTTATATATATCAGTAATTCCTTTTTCACTCGTAAGGAAAACGATTACAGATATCTAAAATGTCCACATGTTGAAGGATATTGACTAGTGGAAATGTAACCTTCCCATTTCAGATATCAGTAATTGCATTTCCGACATGTCTAACATATCAACAAATAATTACGGATAAGTCGCCTGGTTTTCATATTCTTTTCGGGTATGTCGTCCAAATTACCATATTAATTTTGGATATGTACCTCATTGTAGATATCTACAAATACATTTCTGATATGTGTGATATATCAACAAATTATTTTGGATGTGTCACCGAATTTGCAAAATCCTTTTGTATATGTTTATTATTTGTAAGTCTTTAATTTAAATTGGTACTAATTAAAATATAATATTAATATTTTGGCTTGTAATTTTTTAATAGTGGAAAAGGCAGTTTTTGATATCTACAATTGCTATCACTCCAACTTTTTAAATGTTACATGTGGGAAATGTTTACTACAACTACATACAACTAATAGAACTATGACAGAAGGAAATCTCACTGAGTAACATCACATTTTTATGGTTGCATTACAGATATAGTGGAAAGGAGAGCACAACAAACA